ATGTAGGCTTGCCAAGCTAGAAGGATTACAGATGTCTTGAAATTTCTCTGTGATATCCCTAGATTCTGTAATCTGCCACAAAAATGTCTGTCATATTCTTTTAGCCAGTCAGAAAATTTTGAGGAGTTCTTTTCTTGTCAATCATTTTACACATTTGCACGACCCATAAATTAGAAGCAGGAAGCTGAGACTGGTAGTGGCAATGCCACAAGGTGCTTCATAAGCAGTTGTCAGTTTGTCATAAATAAACGTTATTTTGCAAATTGATGCTTCTGACATCACGGAGATGATGCAGTGTGTGCTTTGATCTTAACACCTATAACCTTATTAATGTTTTTCTTCTCAGGTTAGGTAAAGTAAGTCGAGTAGTCTAATTATAAGCAGTTCAAATTACTTCCAATTTGGTCAGAAGACTTCTTTGTATTATGTTCTTGATAAGCAGTTTTTATAATCAATTAAATTTATTTGGTTTCTTTTTATAATAAACAAAAATGCTAAGGCAAATAATACTCAATCACTGAAGTATAAAATGCAACAATCATGGTTCCAATCAAAGGTAGAGTCAGCCAGATATGTATAAAATCATCTAAATAGACAAGCAGGCAGGGTAATTGTATTTTCTTGATTTTATAAAATTTATAAAATTCTATTAGATTTTTTACAATTTATAAAATTCTATTTATAGAGTGAAGATTATCCAATGTTATTTCACATTTGATTACTTTTTAAATTTCTGTAGTATTTCTTTACCTGAATACTACTTTTAGACCTACCTGAAAAACGTGCACTGTTTATTTAATTTGTATATTTTTTCTGTTCTATTTATTTAGATATTTGTGATATTTTGTTTATTTGTGATATTGCTCCTATTTTTTTTTATTTGTTCTTATTTAATTGCTGACTGTTTACTTGTTTTTTTTTTGTTGTTGACTGAAATAAATTCAATATAAAGTTTGAAATCAAGCTGCTTGGTTTGAAAGTGACTTTTGTGTGAGCAGTGCTTCATGTATTGCTATACTATTGATTATGGACCTTTTTGCCCATGAAATTTTACTGAAATTCCATTAAATGACCAGCAGTGTCTAAAGCACATGTGAAAACACGGAAATTATATTGGCCATTGAAGGGTTCAGGTGACATAGTGTGGTGCCTGCGTTAAATTTCATCAGCTTCTTTGACTTTAGGAAGCCGCATATCTGTGTGTAATCAGTGTGGTTGTTTGTCAGATCATTTTTAATACTGTACATCTCTCTTACAAAAAAAGATATTTATAAAAAATTATTTTTGTAAATATTCCCCTTTCTCTTGCTCTTTCTCCTGACTCATTTTAGCATTTTTTTCTGATCTAAACGAGGACCAATACATTCGGCTTGGAGGAGTTGGATGTGGAAATTATTGAGACGGGTGCTTCAGCAGAACTGCTCTCTCACTTATACGCATGTGAGGAGCTGCTCGAGGTTGTAACTTGTGCCATGGCCAATTTCAATCTGGAGTAGCCAAATGAGAAACAGTAAGCAGATTGCAGCTCAACAAGTGCTTCCAGACTAGTGACCAACCACAATCGCCCAGCAGAAACCTCCCCTTCTTTCCCAATGTCCACACTAAGTTGTCAAAATTGAGGGGAAACCCATTTACAGCCTGTTTTCACCCCAACAGTGTTGAACTATTTGACTATTGTGGGGTTGCATGTGCCAAAGGTCGAAGAGATGTTAGCTGTCTCTAACAAAGAACTCAAAGAACTCCGCTGGGCCACAGATCTAGCCCACCTTTTCACTTTTATATTGCTTCCATGGTTGCCACAGAGAGGGGTGGGGTGTCACATCACATCGTGTATCCATTCTCACCAGACACCTTCAGGAGATTGTTTTGTGAATCCTGACACTTGTGGTGTTACAGGGAGCAGCAATCTTCAGGGGGTTTTCCACCCAATCTCAACTTAGCAATGCTGCTGGACTGCCCATCCCCTCTTCAGAAAGTATCGGGACATAAAAGGTTGCTAGGGTAGTCGGCCCCCATATAGTATTGGGCATTCTCCTCTCAACGAGTACCCAATAGAACATGTTCAGTTGTTTCCCGCTAACAAGCTGTTTCAGGGCACAGAATAAACTGACCATACCCCCTAAAAATCGAAAGGTTGATACCTCTTTCAGAACATCTGGCAGTGTGGCAACTTCTGGCAAATGTGTCTAATTGGGTCCAGCAGGCTAAAGGATTCACTTCAACACTCCTTCAACAAACCTTGTTTCAGTGGCGTGTTCTCCACTGTGGTGCGCAAAGAGCAGGTTCCATTGTTGGGTCTGCTGAATATGAAACCATTTCAATGGTGGCTTAAAAGCAGGGGCTTTCACCCTCTGGGCGACCCTCTGCATGCATTCATACCTTTCTTCTGTGGAAAAGACTTCGGTTTCTGACCCAGGGTCCCACGCTTGGAGAGTGTTGCCGTCGAAAGATGATCACAATGGATGCCTCCCTCATGGGCTGGGGCACAATCAGCTCGTGGCCTCTGGCCCCCTGGGCACATAGATAGTCAGGAGATGAGGGCTGTGTTTCTAGCATTGAAATACTTTCTCCCAGACCTGAGGGGCTACCATGTGTTGGTCCGCATGAACAACACAGTGGTAGTCTCTTATATAGATCACCAGCATTTCCGCCCCCCTGTTCAGATTGGTGCAGCAGTTCATGCTTTGGGCGGAAGGCAAACTGCTTTTGCTGTGGCACGGCTGAGACCCGGGGAATGAAGACTCCACCCACAGGTGGTGGAGTTGATATGGCGGATGTTCATCAGAGCAGAAGTCGACCTGTTCGCCTCATTCGAGTCAACCCACTGTCCCCTCTGGTTCGCCCTCACACCTCCAGCACCATTAGGGCTGGATGCCGTGGTGTAGATGTGTCCAAGACCTTTATACATTTCCCCTGACAGTTCAGTTCACAGGAGTTTCTCCTAGACAGCGTTCTCTGGGAGATTCCCATCCAGACAGAACTTCTATCTCTTGTACGGGCTCGATTCATCATTTCCTTCAGACTGGAAGTGTGCCCATAGCATTGACATCATGACTTCTCAGGGAACCAGGTTACATAAGTAACCTGAGACATTTGTTTATCTTGATTCTTGCTTCTCTTTTGTGTAGCTCACCAAAGTGCCAGTACAGGCCTGTGAGCAGAAGACTGATTGTCAATCATGTGTGTCCCAGCGGGACCCATTCTGTGGCTGGTGTGTGCTGGAGGGCCGGTAAGTCTGTTAGACTCATTTTATTACCAATTAATAACACTGCCAAATAAGGCAATTAATAACACTGCCAAACTACAACAGAATTTAATATTTCTCCTGACAAATAAACTAAAAACTATGGCTCCTGTGGGTCATGTGACATCCATCCTAATAACCTATGTTTTAGAACAGAAAACTGTTTAGAAATCCCATTTTGAAATGGTTTATTCTCTGAAATATGGCATAATTTATTCCATTACATTTTAGCAAGTGTTATGTAGTAGATATCTGCATGCAGTCCAGTTAAAGCGAATGGCTGATTGTCTGCTTTTCTCCTGCAGTTGTACTAGGAAAAAGGATTGTCGCAAAGGAGAAGGAGAGAATGCCTGGTTGTGGAGTCCAAAACAAACATGTCTAACTATTCAGTCCTTTGAGCCCCCCAACATCAGCTGGAAGAAAACATATAATTCACAGGTACTAAAGCATAACTCGTACACAAACACACACACTGTGATATGGTCTGCAGTTATTTCAAACCCTAACCTCTTTAACGATTGACTCAAGATTGATATTTATTGACTGTAACAGATCCAGTCTGAGAGTCTAATCCTTTTTTGCAAGAGCTGAAATGAAGAACTAAACAAGGCGTCTGAAACTATCATATTACATGAATGCACAGAGCACTTTTCATGCATTTCTTATATTTGTCTCAAGTGGTCATGGATTTTTTAATTTTTTATTTCCAGAACTGGAAAAGCTATGGAAATCAATAAAATTGTATTAAGTGATTGAAAAAAAGTAAATAATATTTATAATCATCATCATCATCATTATGTTTTAATTATGTATTAATTAATTACTGTTTTGTCAATATTCAGTATTTAAAAACCCTCATCCAATAATCCTCATATATTTAATGTTAAAAAGGTTTGAGAACTGGTATTTTTCACATATTTTAAAATATTAAATTTTCTCCTAAATCCTTATTTTCTTTCTTAAACTTGCAGGTGATGATTGGCATCCCCTCCCTCCCCAGTATCAGCAGTCCTGATAGACTTACATGTGTGTTTGGTGACTATTGCAGTCAGGTAACAATGGAAAACTCAGGGTTCATCTGTGATCTCCCGATCTCTGAGTACATACCACCCATACCAGAGACAGAAGGTGAGAGCATCCTGTTTGCCTTTAACTTTAATAATCACCTACTGTGAAGCCGTCCTCTCGCTGCCTCCTTTACTCACTGAACAAACTGAGTCTTTGTCTCACAGAATGCCAAAAGTGACATCAAACATAAATAGGTTTTCATTTCTTCATGTTTGGAGACTGATCAGATGAAACAATTACACTGATAACAGATCCAGTCTGAGAGTCTAATCCTTTTTTGCAAGAGCTGAAATGAAGAACTAAACAAGGCGTCTGAAACTATCATATTACATGAATGCACAGAGCACTTTTCATGCATTTCTTATATTTGTCTCAAGTGGTCATGGATTTTTTAATTTTTGATTTCCAGAACTGGAAAAGCTATGGAAATCAATAAAATTGTATTAAGTGATTGAAAAAAAGTAAATAATATTTATAATCATAATCATCATCATCATCATTATGTTTTAATTATGTATTAATTAATTACTGTTTTGTCAATATTCAGTATTTAAAAACCCTCATCCAATAATCCTCATATATTTAATGTTAAAAAGGTTTGAGAACTGGTATTTTTCACATATTTTAAAATATTAAATTTTCTCCTAAATCCTTATTTTCTGGTTTAAACTTGCAGGTGATGATTGGCATCCCCTCCCTCCCCAGTATCAGCAGTCCTGATAGACTTACATGTGTGTTTGGTGACTATTGCAGTCAGGTAACAATGGAAAACTCAGGGTTCATCTGTGATCTCCCGATCTCTGAGTACATACCACCCATACCAGAGACAGAAGGTGAGAGCATCCTGTTTGCCTTTAACTTTAATAATCACCTACTGTGAAGCCGTCCTCTCGCTGCCTCCTTTACTCACTGAACAAACTGAGTCTTTGTCTCACAGAATGCCAAAAGTGACATCAAACATAAATAGGTTTTCATTTCTTCATGTTTGGAGACTGATCAGATGAAACAATTACACTGAAGCTGAATCTATTAGCAGATAGATTCTGAAGTTTAGCTTATTGATTCTAGAGTTACAGGGGCTTTTATCAAGTTGTGCTTTCCTTGGGAATGAAACCCATGACCTTGCTGTTGCTAGAACCTGTTGAGCATTTGAAGTTCATTGGCTGAAGAATTTTATTTTTAATAACTCCTGAATTACTCCTGCTGTAAAGCCGATATGATTCCTATTTCCCATATGCATTTATGTAGATTTTGTGGCAGTGCCAGTGATGATCATGATGAATGATGGCATTGAAGTGGCATTTGGTGCATTTGAGTTTTACAACTGTGCAGCCGTGGTGAAGAGATCGGAGAATACACCGTAAGTATCAGGCAGTTTTAAAAATGTTAAAAATGTGTACTCCATGTAGCATTTATTTAGATTCGTCTTTTGATTGGCCGGTTTTGTGTTCTGCAGATGCATTGCATGTGTGACCAGTAAGTGGGGCTGCCAATGGAATATTCAGGATCACACATGCAGTGATAAAGATGACACTGTCAAGGGTGATCATATCATTCAACACATGCAGGTGAGTCATATTAGGATGAATGTATGCATATATAAATTAATATGACTGTTTGTGCTTTAATATATGGTAAGCCATCATCTTTGGTGACATAAGAGGAATAATAACAGTTTTATTAGATTTTTTTTTTTAATGATTCTTGCAGAATGACAGGTGTCCTCAGTTTGAGATCCCAGAACCCCTGCTTATTCCTGTTGGAATTAAAACCCCCATCCAATTTCAGGGCACAAATCTGGATAAATATTTGGTAAAGTACATGCATTACTTATGGCTTTTTACACTGCTTCTTATTAAATACTGTACATAAATTGAGGTATGATATTGATTTATTTAAATTAAAAAAAATGATTTTGCACGGTCCATATGGTAATATGCAAGAATTTTCCATATTTATTTTTTCACAGGTATTTTACACATATTTAGATGTACGCATTGCATTGAGTGTTAAAGTAAATGTCTGTAAACTTGACAGATAATGTCCAGTCAGAAAATGATATGTAAATTTATTTGACATTTGTCCCTGGCAACATAGTTGTGCTAGTTTGATGTCTCTTGTATCACTTAAAATATTACTAGCAACAACTAGATATTATTACAGAACCATCGACCAATCAGAATCAAATATTTAGGTGAGCTATAAAGATGCAATAAAGAAATATATTTACCCAATATCTCAGTGAGGACATTTGTCAGGATGATTTTTTTTTATAGTAAAATGTCTGCATAAACAGCATTACTCTTTCTTCATCTCTCTCAGGGGAAAACCTTTCAGATTGGCACTGAGCTCATGAAACAGGTGGGCGAGGTGACTGTTGAGGCTGATGGGTCAAAGTACAGATTTGAGGGATTTGAGGTCAGTATGCTCCAGTCGTATTCCTCCTGTTATGTCTCCCTCACTTTCTACTTCTCTGTTCACACATTGATTTGTTTCTGGAGTTTGAGCACCAGCCAATATGGCATTCACAGCTATTGAGCTGCACGTGTGTGTAGGGCTCCGTCCTATGTGGGCGTAACAAACACAAAGACATCACTTTGGCAGGGGAGAATTTTCTGCAGCACACAGTTGTTCCAGATGCGGTGATGTGTTTGTCTGTATCTGTGTGTGTTTAATGACACTTTCTACTATTTTTATGCCAGTTTGAATATGACAAGGAGCCAGAGGTGAATGTGACGTTCTACATAAAGGATAAAATCACGGACAGGAAGATTGACAGCACCCTCAGAGGTACATTTAAATGAATTTTCATCATCATAGTTTACAGAATTTACACTTTATGAAATTGTAGTAAGTGATGCTACAACATAATAACTAAATTGAGCTAACTATGGTACATTGGCCAGTATCTTTAAAAATATATTAGTGTCAGCCTACATATTCTGAGCAGTATTTATCTGCCACAGGACAGTTTGACACAGCATCAAACTTGAAAACAAATCTTTGCGCTAAATGTGACTAAAAAAAAATCACCACATAAAACAGTAAACAGCCTAATTTGCATAAATCAATTTCCAAAAACATAGTGATAAACAGCAGTGTTTAATTTTTATTTCTCTACAAATCCAAAAGACAAGGGAACCTTTTTTTGATTCAGGTTTTTTTAAGTGTTTCCTCCATTTTTCTACCCAGTGGTGCTCTACAACTGTTCAGTTAGATGTGAGGACTGCAGTCTGTGTAAGAACGCTGATCAGAAGTATAACTGCGTTTGGTGCGACACCACAAAATCCTGCATCTACAGAGACCTGTGCAACCAGGAGCTGAAGCAGTGTCCTCCTCCAAAGATCACTGACGTGAGGACAATTCTTTTCTCGTTACTGTCGCCCGACCCTATTTTAAACTTTGCTAACACTAGATTCAGTCACACTTCAAGCTAAGCTCAAAATGCATCCAAGAATATCTCATTGGCGTGATGTCACCGATTACAAAACTCACCATTCCTGGTTCAAATGCACTTCATAAATTTCCACTCTTCATCTTCCCCAGAAAACACCATTTCTTTTCATCCTCTTCTCCATTTCTCATGCCTAAATGATGGCCGCGCTGGTAGTCACAAACTCAGTCTCTCACTCTAGTCTTTTGTTGAATCTATCTGATACTCTAATGATGGCGCCATGATCTGGCAAATGATTTTCTCCAAAGCAGCTGGATCACTCAAAGGTACAATGGTTATGGGGAGGTTATGCACTTAAGTTTTGAATAGGTGCACATGCACAACCAAAATGAAAAAAATGTGCTGGGTAAATTCAGACCACTCATTTGTGTACCGACATGGTTGACAGCTGCTAATGTACAAATTACTGTTTTAGATCAACTAACTTTAGTATTGTTTTAAATTTCCATTTGAACTCAAAGCATAAATCTAGGCTGCGTGGCCGATATTGGAACAAAAAACAAAACAAAAATGTGACATTTCATTCACTGATGCGCTTCCCATGGCAGTGTTAAAACCAGTGACTCACCAAAATAAAAGCTTACTGATTTTAGGTTTGAAAGTGATAAATTCATATAAAAAAATAAAAAGTTAAAAAAGAAATAAAATGAAAATGTAAATATTAGCATTATATTTAATGGGTCACACTAAGTGCAGTGTGAGCACCAAACCAAATCTCCTGGTGCTCTCATAAGAACCAGACTGAAAAACTTATGTGCATACCTGGTTATGGGTGATCTTTGTAACTAGTTGCATCCCTAATCAAACACACCTGCCTGTAATTTTCAAACAATCCTTAAGACTTTTGTTAGGTTTTTGCAGGTATGTTTGATTGGGGATTGAGCTAAACTCATGCAGTACAGTGGCTCTCCAGGACTGGAATTGTCCATCACCGCTCTAGTTTATGGTTTTGAGTGTTATAGGCCTCTTTTAACTTTGCTCTTCTCTTTTCATTAAAGTTTGTTCCCCAGGAAGGGCCAGTGAAGGGACAGATCTCTGGCACAACAAAAACCTCTAACTTGGGCATCAAGCAGGAGGACATTAAGAGAATCGCCTTAGCTGGAGTGCCATGTACTCACCAGCCAAAAAGATACTCATTCTCTAGGTACTGCATGAGAGCTGAAGGATTTAAGGATTCTTTGTAGCAACCTGTGTGCGTGTTGCTTCAAGAAAGCAATCATACATTTGCGGGGGTTTTTTTTTGTTCATTCTATCATTTATAATCATTTATCATTTAATCATAATCATTTTAAACCATTTATATACTCATTTCATTGATTCAGACATTGATCATTCATTCTATATTTTGTATTATCTCATAATATTTTTCAATTATGGTTTAGTCTTATGTTGTGTGCTGTGTTGTCTTTGCAAGCATGTTAGAGATAAGAGAATGTCTCAATTTCAAGTTTATAACATCACTGGAGGATGTTTCCATTGCTATTACTTGTGATATAATAAAATCTGTTTTATTTCTGCTGGTCAGACGAAGTTTGACTGAACATTGAAACACATGCAACAAAGATTATTCAATAAACTCTGCTTTCTGCTCTTCCTCTGTCTGCCTCTTGGGCTGATAGACGACTCTGAATACAGTTTTGGGTGCTAGACAAAAAATGCAGTGAAACACACTGACAAAAGACAAGACTCGCTGTTAACATGTTTTGGGTACCAGAAAAAAACGAGTATCTTGTCTTTTGTGTGAGCGTGCGGTTCAAGTTCACTCAGGCCTTGCGCTCTCTGATCTATGTGTTGTCTTTGTCATCGGACATGTTGAGTGCTCATTTCTTTACCTACCATTAGTACCAGACAAAAAAGGAAAAATTACATGAAAGTGTTTGATACAATGTAAATATATGTATCTACACAATAAGTGCATTGTATTAAATGACTAAATTAAATGAAGTACATAGTAGTTACTTAATATAAAGTGTGTGTGTGCACGCAAACAGTCACATCCCCTGTGTTTTTCTAGAGACAGTCCTGGCCCAGCCACTCCCCCATTAACCACAGGAAGTAGTACAGGAAGCAGCCCATGTGTGAGCCATCAAAGGCCCTGTGGTGACACCCAGAGCCTGGAACGAGGTGCTGTGGCTGGGGACAGAGGGATACAGAGGGAGGCCAGGGGGTCAAACATAACCTCTTTGAGAAAGTTTCAGTTCCCCATAACTAAGCTGGGAATGAGGCTTTACTTCAGCTTTCATGTAACGCTTCAGCTGTCTCAGTATTGTCACTTGACTCAGCATGCTGGGTTTTTTGAGGTGGTTAGCAAAGGACAGGAAGTATTCTACACGTCCCAAGCATCAAGTGAAAGAGTGTTTTAACCTCCATTAAATAAACAGTCTCTCTCCCTCGCTGTCTGTCTCTCGTTGTAAACTGTTGCCATATAATCGTAATTTGCTTTAACATAAACATCCCTATGCAACAAACAGACCCAGATTGCAATATTGTAGTTCAAACCACGATCAAACACGCACTCGCATGCTTGCTAACACTGGCCATACTTTCCTCTATTGTGTATATGTTAGCATGGGTGCTAAATGATAGCATTTTCCTGGAATAGCACCTTTGGACATTGTAAATTTGTTTCATGTGATAAAAATGTGCACTACAGGAAATGTGAGACAGAACAATGAAAAAAGAGGGAAAGAAAGACAAAAAGAGAAAGAAAAAAAGCGAGACACAGCATCTACAGGTGCATCTCAATAAATTAGAATGTCGTGGAAAAGTTCACTAGTGTGTTTGTTAATATCTAGATGCTAGATACTTGAAACCAAGATCTTATCCACCCAAGTGTACCTATGTTAACCCAAGTCAGCCTAAAAGTTGGCAGCTAGTGCTTCATGTCTCTATATGTGACACCTAAATGTTTTTGCTTGCTATAATTAGGCTCGAGTATTTAGTTGAGTGGCTTGGATTGTGGAATTAGCTTATTGTTTGTAAGATTTCTTAAAGAAGTCTTACAGAATGACATTACTGATTATGGATCTCTGTGGTACTTTGATTAGAGTTGCTGACATTTTAAACTGACAATATGCTGTCACCTAGTGGTTTGACACTCAAAGTACACTTAAGTACACTTAAGTTGCAAACATTTTTTCATGCAAACAATATATTTCATGTTTATTTAATATTTCTATTTTATTTTATTTTATTTAAGCATTATTTCAATTATTGAATATGATTTTTAAGTGATTGAATACCTGATTTTAATTTTACAACACTAATTCCAAACTCTTCTTGAAAAGCCTTGCCTGGCACTCAAGCTCTGCCAAGGTCGCTTTTAATTATTCTAGCAATGAGACAAAAAGTCTGTTTCCAAAAGTGCAATTATTTGCTCACAATTCCTCACAAAAACCAATGTTGTTGTTAGATGGTTATTCAGCGTTCCATAGCCAATGCAATTTGTTATCCTGGGGACAGTAGCATAACCCCATTATGAAAAAATGTGTTATTTTCAACTTCTGAAGGTTATCTGAAAGAGCATTGCCCCAATTACAATTTCAGAACTTCCTATTGCATTTTTCTGCTCTGCGAAACCTATTATTTGATACCAACCAGCCGTAAAATCACAGAAATGAATGGATCTGATGTAATCACATACTGATGTAATAGAATACAGAATCAGGTTTTAATCATTACAACAAACAAAGAGCTTCCTGTTATGTGTGTGTGTGTGTGTGTGTAAGCAACACTCCAGGCAATTAATCAATCAAAGCAGGATTATTGAAAGCCAAGAATGGATGTGGCTCTTGAAAGAATTGCACAGTAATTATTTAAATAATTGTCCTTTGAGCATGTTGAGAACATTTACATTGTTTGCATCGGGAATAATCTAGGAGTCTGATCAACCACATTGGACATTCTGGTAAAGTGTCTTCCTTCAAAGAGCGTCTCTCAGTCTTCATTAGTGGCTTCATTAGCTTTCTCACATCTCTGATCACTTGTAATCAGGTTGATGATGAGAACTGGGTATTTCACGGCTCAAGCTGCCAGCTGAAAGAATTAAGGATTGTTTTCTCTTTATTTTTAGTAAAAATATCTAAGCAAGATACATTGAGCACTACCAGAGCAAAATTGTGTAAGATAGTTTACAAGAAATAAATTTTTCTTAAACAAATGTACATTTTTAAGCATTTAATATATATGTATAATGTAGCCTTTTCCAAAAAAAATATTTTTTTACTAACTTGCAAATTTTATTTTCTTGTTTTCATCATTTAAATTTCACTAAACTGTGTTTGATTTACATTTAAAAAGGGCCAATGATATAGTTATTTTACAATTTTTCACAATTTTATATATATATATATATATATATATATATATATAAATCTGTAGTATTGTATACTTTTATAGAATACATAGTATCTCTAAATATATATAAATTAAAATATGATTTAAAAAAAACAACAGCTTATTTTTGTACTTTTGAAGTGAGCAAACTTTGCCCTTCATCTTGATCTTGTTCCATGCAGAGGCCTCATCATTTGGCTGAGCGCAGGGGTGCAGAATTCGGGGTGATGGTCCCAGGACTTGTGGGATTGATGGTGAGAGCACCAGATGGCTCATTAGTGGCACTGCACCAAACTGGCACTGCAGGGAATACCGGATACCATCCACCGAGCTAAACCAACATCTCCAGTTCTCCAGACGCTAAGTAATAGGAGAGTATGCAATTTATACACACACACACACACACACACACACAAGCACGCATACACACCTCTTTGATTAGAGCTAGGTCTATGCAATAACTCATATTGACAGCCACCCGACTAAGTTGGCTCGGTGCAACAGGAAGCAAATCTAATCATTGCATGCTGCCACGCGCTAAAAATAACTCCTTTATTTCTCGCTCTAGCTCAATTTTGTTCATGTTTATCCCTCCCTCTTCACGACTCCTTCTGTTTGCTGTCTCGCAGCATATTGTCTTTCTCTGCCAACTGACAGCGTAACTGTTTCTGCTCATCTGTCTTTGCCGCCATTCTGGATGTGCCGGATTCAGCTGCTCACGGACGGATGCAAATAACGTCTGTTTCTTGTTGAACAGAACACGGACACGGTGAGAATATTACTGACGTTAAACGGTACTTTATGGGTTTTCGGGGTGTGGTGGGGCACAGCTCAAAATCCCCCCCGAGGTTATATATTTTGAGCTGATATTATGATTTCAAACAGTAGAGGGCGCCACAAGAATGTGTTACGAAACCGGTTTTTTTTTCAGTGACTCAAGTTATTAGGAGTCAATATGCACCTCAAAATATCTTGAAAAGACTTGAATCGTCGCTAGTAGCTGATGAAACTACATGTGAGCCACAATCAATATCGGTCCTTCACATCAGAGTCGCTCAAAACATGGCAAGTGAAGTATAAAATGACCTGCTCTGTCTCCGTTTATGATTTGTCAGATGATTCAGTCATCTATTTCTTAGCATTTAGTAAAAGAGGTGTGACAGATCCACTCCGAGCAATAGAAGCACGGGACTGTTTGAGAGAAAATAGAACAATGGTTGCAGATGACAGCCTGCTCTGTGTTCCACGCTCGGGCACAATGCCATCTCATTCCCCCTGACAGCTATCATTATTCTCATTTTTTCTCTGATTTTCTTTCTCTTTCCATCGCTGCTCCTGTTATATTTCGTGTGTTTTGCTCAACTGTTCATTTTACACTCTAAAATATTTGAGAAAGGCATTTGAGGAGGGTTGAGAGAGAATGAGGCAGGCAGGCAGGGAGAGAGAATAAATGAAAAAGCAAAGCATCTCTGTCCCTACAGGCCTCGGGGCAAAGACCGCACTCTTTTCCTTCAGACATACTAATTTCCATAGTCATGAATTATTCAAATCATTCAGCTTTGACACTCAGTCCAACTACAACATACACACACGTGCAAGTGCACTTTCACTGCAATAACACACTGGGGTCCAAAACAACATTTTAAAGAGACACTGCATTAACGATTTCGCTCATGTTACCCAGACTGTCCTCTGAAGGCAAAGCCACAAAAACACCTTGCTTACTTCAAAGACCTCGACTACCTGTGGATGACAGAAGAATTTGGTGGGTTTATGAAGGTCGGTTTGTTAAATAGTTATAATCCGTCTAGATTTAAGCCTAAAAGTTTCAATAGTCAAAAATTAAGATGGTGAAAGATTCAGTCGTTTTATGCAAACATATTTTTTTTTTTTTTTT